GGTGGAACACAATACACAAAAGAACTAGATTTCAGTTGGCCGGTGTTTTTTGGCTGAGAAGTGGCACCAACGGCACCGCCACTGAGATGGCTAATTGATGTCTTCATTGCATTGTTACAGCTTTGCACAGTGTTGGATGTACACACTTGCGTCAGCAGCAGCTGGCAAGTCAACCGTTCTCTATCCGCCGACTACTGCCGGCAAATCACTACTGGCGACTCACCCTGGCACCACTATCACCACCAGTTTTACTGTCACCATTGGCGACATCACAGGCGAAGGCAGCACCTAATCAGCACCATCATACATCTCCTCCGCATTTGCACTTACTCATCGTCGTTGTCGATTACCTCGATTAGCATTTTTATCGGGTTTGTGTGTGTGTTGTGGTGCAACAGGGTGAACACATGTGAAACACCATCATCAGTTGCAGTAGCAGCGTGAAAATAGTTGTTATTTTGTCACCACCGAGCACAGTCGATCTCCTCTACACTTCATCCTGCCGAATCCTGAAAAAGTGCATAATCACACTTTACCCCTACGTGCTCATGATGCAGCGTGAAAGCACTAAAAAGACCTTCTTCACTTGANAGCAGCGTGAAAATAGTTGTTATTTTGTCACCACCGAGCACAGTCGATCTCCTCTACACTTCATCCTGCCGAATCCTGGAAAAGTGCATAATCACACTTTACCCCTACGTGCTCATGATGCAGCGTGAAAGCACTAAAAAGACCTTCTTCACTTGGCAAACTGCTTTTGTTATCTTGATATTGAAAGTCAAGATGGTTTTATCTTTTTATTGTTTTCCATTACTGTGCATTTAAAACTGATAAGTCACAGAAAAGTGAGATTATTATGCACCCGTTACTTGATCAACCGAAATATAATTACAGATGTAGTTCGTTTTTTGGTATTATTTCTCTTCGAAGATGCCATCAAAAACAAACTTGCTAACGTCAAGTCGCTGAGTAGTGTTTTCGGGTTTTCCCTTGAGTGCTCGATTGCCGATTGCAAGGATGGCTTCAACCTGGTAGTCATCACTATTGAGACCAATTACCTCAGCCACTTTCTGCGGGTCATAGCCACCTGTTGCATGCACCACCAAGCCTCGTGCAGTGCCTTCAAGAGCCATGGCCATCCAGGCAGCGCCTGCATCAAAGCTGTGCGTCGCCACCGGCAATTTGTGGCCTCGGTACTTTTCATATTTGCTCGAAAGGACCACTACCAAAACGCCTGCATCTTTGGCCCACTGCTGATTGCGGTCTGTGAGCAATTCAAAAAATCGATCCCAGTAAGGACCATCTCTCTCGGCGTAAACAAACCTCCACTCTTGGAGATTGTATGCGCTTGGTGCCCACCGAGCAGCTTCAAAGAGAGACATCAGATCTTCGTGATCAACTGGCTTTCCATTCATGTGCTTCATTGATCGGCGAGCAAGAATGAAAGGGTGAATCTGCCTTTCAATAGGTCGTTCCTGAAAAAATGTCCAAATTGAAAAAATGAAAAGCAGTTGATGAGTTACCTGAATGGCGTCTCTGTCGTACTTGTACATGGCAAGATTACTTATTTTGGTAGCCCCTGTCAGATTTAAAAAATTCGATGGTCAGTTTGGGTGGAAAAGAAAACATCAATTATGCAATGTTACCATTGGCAGTGAGAATGAGGTAGTGACAAATAAATATCAGTGTTGATAATAAGTTTGTGAAAGAACACATTTTGATGGCAAGACGGAGGGTGCTGAAGCTCATCTGTGAGCGCCCTTTTATTGGCACAAAAACCAGTGAAGCATAACCAGTGCATTCTTACTTTCTCTTTCTCAGCAACTGTCCACCATGAAGACAATTCTGCATTTCAGCTTGCAAAAGCTATTTATGGCGACAATAGCTAGGCGCAAAGTGCCGATTAGGATGTTGCGACATGCAGCTGATAATTGCAGTGTGCGTTGTCTTTGTTTTAGAAAGGTTGTAGAGTCGACCATTTTCAGTTCAAGTTTGCTGGCAATAGTTCCCGAGAATAGCAAATAGGTAATTAGCTCAACTAATAGCCAGCTAGGAAATGTCCACCGTTACTAATGGACTCGGATATGCTGTCGTACAGTGCAACTGACTCAACAAAATTTGAACTTGTCCTTTCATTGACCTGCAAAAAGTTCGGTACTTTGATTGCACTTTAGGTGCGCCACCAGTTTATTCATTTTCTGCTTCACTTTGAGCATCATCGGCGAAGTTAGCAATGTCACGCAAGATAGTCGGCTGGTGACAATGTGCTGAGCAAAAGATGGAAATTGATTAATTGCAAGTGGGCATTCCCAATTTGCTTCGGTACGCTTCGGTGCGGTCAATGTAAACTGTGGCAACTGTTGCAGTGCGGTTAAAAGAAAATCAGAAAAAATCCATTTGAGCTTGCATTGACAGGGAGGCAATACAGTTGATCAGTTAGTGGTAAACCAGCTTGCTGAACTTTGGTGGAATACTTCAAAATGAAAAAACACATTTTTAAGTTCACTAAGTGCAGTTTGCTATGCAAATAAAACCCTGCTAATGAACTGATGACCTTTAAATCGGCCAACTGGTTACTACCTTTTCAAATCAGTGTACTCTACTGTAGCAGGCATCACCAGGCAGACACGAAGAGACAGTGCTAACAACAGTGCTAAACAGCAGCATTCCGTGACAAATCGATGGCTGCATTGCAGCACCAGAGTCTGCTGAGTCTGCTGTCACTGTTTGCCCAACTGTTCAGAGTCAAACAGAGTCTGCTTCAGAAGCAAGCACTACTGTACAACCGACCTTCATTTGGCGGCGATGCTTCACTGAAGGCTTCACATGTTTGGAGCTTATACAACACACAACACACAACCACCGACACAGCTCTCTCTGGGAGACAATCAGCAATAATGTGAGTGTGTGTGTGAGCTGCACTCACTGCAACTCACTCACACACACACTTGAGCACTGTGCAACTTTGCCATTTTATGGAAGCATTCCAGCCTGTGAGCACCCTCGATTATAGAACACACAGTCGGTAAGCCAGCAGTTTAGCCATGCCATAATCTGTCATCGCTGCCAACGTTCACTCTCACTTTTCTCCCTCCTTTCTCCAAACAAGGCTCTTGTTATGAGCGCATCACCCTCACCAGACTAGTGCATGGATGGTGACAGTGCTGCGACCAGCAGCGACGCTGACAAAGGACCACCACCACCACCACCACCACCAGTTGATGAAGGCGATCACAACGAGAACGACGACGACGACAACAACCCCAACAGCAACCCCAACAGCAACGACGCATAATGCTTATACCCGACTCTTGGGTTTCGGCCGTCTTTGAAGTGATAGGCATCAAGTTTGTGATATACCTCTGCATCAAGATAGGCATCAAGCTGTATCCGATTCTCCTCTGTCGACGACGTCGCTTTGAATGGACTTCAAACAGCAGCAGCGGTGAGCAGCAGTGGGCAGTGGTGACGGGGGCCAGTGATGGCATCGGATACGAGTTCGCCCGTCAGCTGGCAGTCAAAGGGTACAGTCTGCTGCTGATCAGCAGAAATGAAGAGCGCCTGCAGCAGGCGAGGAGGAACATTCTCGCTCAGGTGAACCAGTCGGTGGTGCTCAGTGGGGCACTGGGCGAGGATGGACTGAGCACCGTTGTTCTCGATGACCGAATCGGCTTTAGCAGCGGCGGAGAGCAGTCGTCGGAGCAGAGCCAGGCTGGTTCGCAGGTGCAAGTTCGCACGCTGGCAGTCGACTTTTCGCACCTCTACGTCTACAAGAAGATTGAGCAATTTCTCGCCCCAGTCGCCGCAGACATTGCCATTGTGGTGAACAATGTGGGCATCTGTCCGCCCATTCCGGCACCTTTTATCAGCGAGGAAACGGTCCTTCACCAGGAGATGATTAACGTCAACGTAGTGGCGGCCACGAAAATGCTGGAGATTACGCTGCCTTCGATGGTGCAGAGGCGACGGGGACTGGTGATCAACGTTTCCTCTACTGCCGGCACCCACCTGGCTCCACTTACCAGCGTCTACGCAGCGACCAAGGTAAAAGAGAAAGGTTTTTGGGAGGTTGCGTTCATTCAACCCATTCTCTCTCCCCTTCTCTAGGCGTACCTGTCCCACCTGTCTGACTGTCTGTCAGTGGAGCACGCCAAAGAGGGCATCACCTTCGTCACCCTTCACCCGTACCGCGTCTCCACGAAACAGGGCCACTTTGCCGAGGTGGGCATGACCACTGCCACTGCGGAGGACTACGTCAGCAGTGCCCTCTCCGCCATCCAGTACAGCCACAGTGTGAGCATCACCGGCCACCGAGGCCACTCGCTCTTTGACGGCGTACTGCGCTTTATTGAGCACTTCACCTCACGTGCCACCGGAGGACGGTACTACATGTCCGCCAATGATCAGCTTCGCCAGCAACTGCTGATGACGCATCAGTCCAACCTGAGTGCTGTCGGTAGTGGTGGTGCATCTGCTGCTACTGCTGCCTTAAGAACTAGTAGCGCCAGTAATCGACACCAAGAGTCATCAGCTAATGATTGGAAGGTGCTCAACTAGTCAACAAGTGCCATAATAAAGATGATATCACCACCGGGAGAATCACCACATTTGTTCCAGATCATGTTCCTATGCTTTCACAAATCTTGTCAATTTCTATTTTTTAATAAACAAAGAGTTCGAAAACTAACGCACAAGTTTAGTCAAATAAAGTGTAACCATTGTGTACAGTTGTCATTTCAAGCATTCAATCGAACCAACATGAGTACCAAAAAGTCTGGTAAAAGCAAGGCAAAAAGTGCGATCAAGTCGAAAGCCTCCAAATCGAAGGAGTCTGCAGCGCCGTCCAAGTCAAAGGTCAAATCTGCCGGCAAGTCCACTGCAAAGGATGGGGCTTCCAAAGAAAAGTCAAAGGAAAAGTCTGTCAAGAAGGAGGCGTCGAAAGTAGAAAAGTCCAAGGGCAAATCCAAAGCTGAAAAGTCAAAAGAGGAAAAGTCGAAAGCTGAAAAGTCTAAGGAAGAAAAGTCGAAGGCGGAAAAGTCTAAAGAAGAAAAGTCTAAAGCCGAAAAGTCTAAGGGAGAAAAGTCGAAGGCTGAAAAGTCCAAAGGAGACAAATCCAAGGCTGAGAAGTCCAAGGAGGACAAGTCAAAGGCGGACAAATCCAAAGTGTCCAAGGTGAAGTCAAAGGAGAAATCCGGCAGTGGCGACGCGAAAGCAAGCAAGTCCAAGGTGTCCACTGCCAAGGGCGCCGATGCAGGCGGCGGCGGAGAGGGCGGAGGCGGAAAGAACGCCGAGGCGCTGGCAAAGATAACCAAAGAGCTAGAGTCGCTGAAGGCAGAGAACGTGACGCCCAACGGCAAGGACGACCTGGACAAAATTCAAACGCTGCTGAAGAACATCGCCTACCGAGACAACGGAGAGAAGGGGCGAGTGCGTCAGGTGACGCTCAACGACCGCCAGAAAGCCGCCATTCAGAAGGTGACCGGTCTGGAGTTGGGCGGCACCTGTGACGACAAGTCCATCGCCGCGCTGAAGACTGACAAGTTGGACTTTGAGGTTTCAAAGAAGTAGTCTAGCAGTAATCCGCCAGCTTTGTTTGCAGGCGAGACAGTCGTGACAAACAGCACCAACAAAACACGGCTGTATACAGGGTGAGTCAAAAGTTCTGTCAGTACTTTTTCCAAGACCGATA